GGTGGGGCTAAATTACACTCCATCCACACATACATTTACTAACCATAGACCCCCCCCCCCACTGAGTCAAACCCCTCAAAATGCTGCCTCACACACAAAAGCAAGGTCAAGTTCACTTGCTGATGAACTGCCTCAAGTTAGTAGACACGACAGTCACAAAACAGCAGCTGTGATGCCTGTGACATTGAGTCATTACCAAGCGCAAGTCTCTAACCTGTAATTTCACCAGCTAAATGTAATGTGCCTTCTTCCATTAACTAAAAAAAGCTAGATTAAATATGTGTGAAAGTCAGAGGCTCTGGAATGATGTCATTTCAAGAGCTCACAAAGCTGTCAGTGTCCATCCTGACGCCCAAAAACATAGTCAAATAAGTATGCAAATGCAAATTCAAATGCTAGCAAGAGTGTGGTTTTGTTGTACACGCATAGCATGTGTTCTTTCGTTACTGTAGAGGTAACAAACTCCAATACTCAAGCAGGCAATAGAAGTACCTTTAAATGTCTGTGCCATTCAATTTTTATGATTCAAGTAAGTATAAATATGTCAACTAGCAAGATTCAAGTATCTGACCACAAAAACCTTGTGAAATGGTTTGATGAGCAGTTTTTGTATTGGCCTTTTGAAATAAGAAGTTAATGAGGGAAGTATCTAACAGCTTGTTGGAAGCCCAAAGTATATGTCGGTTTTTAAGCATATGGCGTATCTGTACATTACATGTGATGTAAGTTTAATCATCATCATGTCGCAATGATGAGCTCTTGTGAGAGAGGGTTAACACATACTCTCAACTCTAGTTTAAATGAGTACAACAGCATTTTTATCGCTTATAACTTCTGGGGAGAAATAGCACAGACACTGGATGAGGAGTAAACTTTCCTGTGTGCTTGTGTCGAGCACTTGTGTTAGTGCATGCTATCAATCGAAGTATACTTTGAAAAGTTGTGTTCGACCGTATACATTCGTGTTAAAACAAAAGAAGTAAACTTTGGGCTTTCATTTTCATTACAACACAGAACGATGACTTGCTACGTGGTATTGCTAGTCAGAGTTAGGTGGTATCGGGAGAGGGACATTCTCATTCCAGACAGCATTTGATTGGACATTGAAAAATTTATATACACCTTTGAGTGCAAGATGAGTCATCAATATGTATTTGTTTTCCCAGAAATATGTACCTTTTAAATGCATTTATAGCTAAAAGTGAATTTAGAACTACAGTAGCATATAGATAGCCTTAAAGCTAATGCTACAAATCTAAAGCTGCGTCCCAAATGACGCACTATACTGTGCACTCATACACAATGTACTTATGCACTATGCACTCAACCATGTAGTGTATGAATTATATAAGATTATTATGTCATTCATAATCAGAATCTGATAGCCCCTCCCTCGGTACATAATTAAAGCTGTGACAGTTGAGTGCATGAAGTGTCCAACATTCCACACTTCGGCCCTGTCCCAAATGGCACACTTCATGTGCACTTGTGGTCTTGCTGACTTACAATGGCAATGTCCGTTAAGTCCACGAGACCGTAGGGTTTCCCATTCTTCATTTTAGCTTTCAGAAGGGTGCTCGCGATGCGCACTTCTGCCCAGCCTGCAATGAGGCGAGCTCCGCAGCAGACTTCTACCTGATACATTTTCTACGTTGCTTGTGGTTTGATTTGAGCGAAAACAACGTATCCGTGTGGCGCAGCTGACACAGAACAACATACGCTGTTTGCGTTCAGTGGATACTCTCCAAAATGGCGCTAGGGTGACCCGGAGGAGACGAATTGTTGAATAAAGTCGTTTTTTTTTTTTTCTTTTACGCACAAAAAGTATTCTCGTAGCTTTGTAATATTACGGTTGAACCCCTGATGTCACATAGATTCTTTTACCGATCTCCTTGCTACGTTTCTGGACGTTGATTGTGGCAGTACCCTTGCTGTCTATGGGAGGGTCAGAGAGCTGTCAGAATGCATCAAAATATCTTAATTTGTGTTATGAAGATGAACGGAGGTCTCATGGGTTTGGAACGACATGAGATGAGGGTGAGTAATTAATGACAGAATTTTCATTTTTGGGTGAACTATCCCTTTACGTCTCTAAAGAGATGCTTGCTGAGAAATTAATTAATAACTGAATTCTGATACATTATGTAACTCGATGCATTTCGAGTACAGCTCTGTTTCGGAACATGAATACTAATGTACAATATAGTAGACCAGAAACTATGTTAAATGAGTATTTATGTCCACAAATTTGTAGTGTCTGCAAAAAAAAGTAGGTGAAAAGTATGGGGGTAGAATTGTTGCATTATTCCACATAAATAGGTTATGATCCACAAACAAATTTAAAGAGATTTACAAAATTTTTAAAATCGCATCCTGTAAACGTGATTGGTTATAGCGAGACTGTGCTATGATTGGTCAGCGAAGTGTGGCTGTTATCTGGTTGGCTTGAGTAGACGGTGGGTCTGGGTGGAGTCCACGCATTTGTGGATTGTCAGCATCTTGACACTAGAAATGTTTCAAGATCCACAAATGCGTGCAGCGATCTACAAATGTACAGGACGCGATTCACAAATGAATAGCAGGCAAAGTTGTGTTTGTGACATAAAAATGTATTTGTGAATATGTTTTTTATTTGCAAATCTCATTTTATTTTTTTGTGAATTTAATTAATGCTTGTGAAACTGAGATTTATTTGTGGATCTCTTTCTATTTATTTGTCAGTATATTTTTGTTTTGTAAATCTCTTTACATTTGTTTGTGGATCATAATCTTTTTTTTTGGAATAATGCAACAATTGAATTGTTGAATAAAGTCGTTTTTTTTTTTTCTTTTACGCACAAAAAGTATTCTCGTAGCTTTGTAATATTACGGTTGAACCCCTGATGTCACATAGATTCTTTTACCGATCTCCTTGCTACGTTTCTGGACGTTGATTGTGGCAGTACCCTTGCTGTCTATGGGAGGGTCAGAGAGCTGTCAGAATGCATCAAAATATCTTAATTTGTGTTATGAAGATGAACGGAGGTCTCATGGGTTTGGAACGACATGAGATGAGGGTGAGTAATTAATGACAGAATTTTCATTTTTGGGTGAACTATCCCTTTAAGTCTCTAAAGAGATGCTTGCTGAGAAATTAATTAATAACTGAATTCTGATACATTATGTAACTCGATGCATTTCGAGTACAGCTCTGTTTCGGAACATGAATACTAATGTACAATATAGTAGACCAGAAACTATGTTAAATGAGTATTTATGTCCACAAATTTGTAGTGTCTGCAAAAAAAAGTAGGTGAAAAGTATGGGGGTAGAATTGTTGCATTATTCCACATAAATAGGTTATGATCCACAAACAAATTTAAAGAGATTTACAAAATTTTTAAAATCGCATCCTGTAAACGTGATTGGTTATAGCGAGACTGTGCTATGATTGGTCAGCGAAGTGTGGCTGTTATCTGGTTGGCTTGAGTAGACGGTGGGTCTGGGTGGAGTCCACGCATTTGTGGATTGTCAGCATCTTGACACTAGAAATGTTTCAAGATCCACAAATGCGTGCAGCGATCTACAAATGTACAGGACGCGATTCACAAATGAATAGCAGGCAAAGTTGTGTTTGTGACATAAAAATGTATTTGTGAATATGTTTTTTATTTGCAAATCTCATTTTATTTTTTTGTGAATTTAATTAATGCTTGTGAAACTGAGATTTATTTGTGGATCTCTTTCTATTTATTTGTCAGTATATTTTTGTTTTGTAAATCTCTTTACATTTGTTTGTGGATCATAATCTTTTTTTTTTTTTTTTTTAATAATGCAACAATTCTACCCCCATAGAAAAGTACCCAGATGACCTACTACTTTCACAGAGATGAAGCGCGCATCAATTGGACACTTTTCAGACGCACCTCATGTATTTGTGTAGGTGTATTTGGAGGCCTAATGCCATTCCCAAACCTGCAGATGGGGGTCTAAATGCATGTGGAAACTCCCTCGGCATCAACCCTAAGGAAAATGACATGGCTGTGTATTCTTTGAGGACAGACGTCACCGCGTAAGTGCATTTGAGCGAGAATCTCTCAGGCATCAATTATCCTCAAACAGACAGGCCGACGCTTGTCAACGTGGGGTCCAATTGCTCCTTCCCCATATTAGGATGCGTTCAATACATTAATATGATCACGCCAGAGGCGAGGGCACACAAGTGTGTCCGTTCACGCGTTCCGTTTAAACACATTTGGCCCCGTCCGCCTTCCATAGTCCGCACGCATCTCATTGCAGGGAGAGCTATGAAAGAAATTCCGCCAAAACAACGGGCGGGAGAAATTGGGGGAAATGAAAAGAGATGATGGACTACATACAGGACGTAGATGGAAACAGGATGTTTTATTGGGGACACCGCGGCCCAAACACCTTTATAAGAAAGCGCAGTTTTAAAGGGAACTGACAAATGATTTGCTTGGCACGAGTTTGCACCTCCTAATGGGAGAATCTTGCGCACACGTTATTCGCTCAAAAAGAAGGACAAGTAAAGGGACAGTATTCCCACCACAAATGAAAACCAAATATAGGACATTAATCATAGCAAGGACTATGTAGGACAACCTAAACCTAGCATTCACATCCTAACAAGGCTGTAGATGAAAAAATTAGAGCAGGCCTGCAGGGCTCAACACTCACGCACGCGCCTGCATGGAGGATGTTTAAATGATAATACATATGTAAATATTAGAAGTGCAGAACGTCTGTTTATCTAGCGTCTTTTGGAGTGCGAAGCGAGTTATCAGACCTGGAAGAACATTCAATCTATGCAGTAATCTTGAACAAACTGATTTAATCTACTCACCACCTTGTTATTACGCAAATCCTTAAATTTGATTTCTGTCCAGCGTGTCTTGTTTGCCTGCGGGGAACGAGGTAATATAGATGGACTACTACATATACTCACAGGACATAATCAAAGGTTTAGCAAGGTTATCAAGTAGATAGAGATCATAAACAATATACATCTGCTTTATTTTCGGTATGCAAAAATAAAGGTGCATGCATGGTAAACAAAAGTATAAATATACATCTCAAATGAGTATTAACAATTCAAAACAGACTACTGGCTGTGGCTTATTCACAGATGAAACCTTATAGCTAACATGTTCAGCACGTGTGAATGTCTCGGATGGCTGTCGTCCCCTGCTGGTGGAAGTGAAATTACACTTGAAATCCAGTCTGATAGGACTTTAACTAATAAATTCGTACTAACACAAAATTGTACTAACACAAAACGTATATAGGCAATTAAGGACACGTTGTGTTGTAGTAGCTACTGGCTTAACCTGAAGCTAAATTCTAGGGATCATCTTTTTTTTCTTTCTGATGTCGTCAAACCAAATACAAGTAATGAAAGCCTAAAAACGGGCCAAAAGCATTAAATACGGTTAATAAAAATGCAAATGCATTATGATACAATGATCAAGTATTATAAAACATACTAAAAACCTAAGTCTTTGTGTAGTATAATTCAAAACAGGATGTTCTATCCTTTAGAATCTGTGTAATACCTTAACTGCAAGCAGCTTTAATGTTTCGGAAGTTGTGAGACATTTGTAATGAATAACTGTAGTGTTAAAGTAGCCACAAATGCGTGTCTTATAGCACCTTTGATTAATCTGAATGTTGAGTATAAAGGCATATATCAGTATAATACAGAAATGAAGGCACTGGCAAACACCAACACACGCATCTATACATAAACTCGATAGCGTGTGGTCAGTGTGCATTTCATCTTTGGCAGAACAGCTGACAGCTGTTTATATCATAATGTGTGTGTCCCCGAGGCCCTGTACACAAGGTAGCAAACAGACCACACACAAAGTGGCACACTGGCACTGAATATCATTTAACAAGTCTTTCTCTCTTCACAAAATCAGACAGACGAAATACCAAAAGACACGAGCACAAACATTCACACAAAATTATAGGATATGTGCTCCATTCCATCATCTGGGCCAACAAGTAAAAGTTCATGTTGCATGAAAAAAACAAAACAAAGGCAGCAAAGAGAAAAGCTTCAATACTGTGGATTGACATCGAAAAACAGATACGAACGCAAAAATAATATCAGTCCAGCGTTTGGGGGAATCAGTACTGAAACCAGCATGTGAAAGAGGGCAGATCAAGTCCGGTGGTTTTTAAGTCCACACACTGCACATTTTATTGCTTCTCTGCTGGCAGACAACATCTATATCATGAACTGAGTGTATCCCTCCGCCCCCGTAACGATAACGTCCATCCATATTCTCATAGCTTCTGGAGAGGGTGCCACCATGTAGTAGACACGATCATGAGTCTTCACACTGAAGGTAAGTGAAGGGTTTGGACTCTTAAGAGAGAGAAGGAGAGAGAGGGGTAAGATTACAGTTTGGCCTCTAGGGGGCAGCACTGAAACATTAAAACAGGAGTGTCCACACATGGTCCTGGAGGGCCACTGTTCTGCAGTGTTTAGCTCCAACTTGCCTTGACACAGCTGCCTGGAATTGTCTAGCACGCCTAACAAGACCCTGATTAGCTGGTTCAGGTGTTTGCTAAACTCTACAGGACAGTGGCCCTCCAGGAGCAGGATTGGACAAATTAAACTTTATTCATTCATTCTTGTTGAATAATTATTAAATAACAATAATCATCTTATTACAGACTTGGATTTTATTTTAAAAGTCAGTAAAGCATCACTGAACAGTAGCCATTTATACAAAATATAATAATAGACAAAAAAAGTTTGTTTTCATAATAAATGTCATGGGCAAAATTAATGTTACCTGTTATTAAGTATTTTAAATGTTTCATAAATTACATGCTATTAATAATTAATGTCAATACATAAAATCAAAATAAATATAAAACGTTAAAAAGCTAAATTTGAATTGACATTAAAATTAACATTAAAATATTAAAATTTGTATGATTAAATATTTAAATTTATTACTTAAATCAAAGCTAAAAATTACTGTAAACAGTATATAAAGCTTATTATATTGATAATTATTAGCTGCAGAGGAAAAGTACCTTGTGGGCGCTCTTTAAGTGGTCGTAATACACTTCCTCTATGGCCTGGAAATAAATCACTCCTTTCAGTTTGGCCTCATGTTTATCTAAACCATTAAAAAAAAAAAAAGTACAAAAATCAATTCTGATATCATTTGAATCGACCAACTTCATGAGTGAAGAAGTGAAGTGAAGGGAAAAATCACCTGCATAGTAGCTCAGGGTCCTGCGGTTACGGTCGAAGACAAACCAGCGCTTCTTCCATGTTTTGATTTTGCCGCCCATCTTAACAAGAAAGCCCCTGCAGGTTTTCTCTGTGATGGAGACATGGTAACAAGTCTCTGTGTTGTGGCCGGCTGAGTCGATGTGGCCACGAAGGTCGAAGTCGTCCTTTCTTACAGGTAGGTAGCGTGTGAGAGGACGAGACTGCAGCAGGGTCACATACAGTATAGGACATTAAGTATTTGTGTATAAATCAATCTAAAAGTAGATGTAGTCTGTTCTTATGTGGCTGCTAATGTGTTCTGAGTGTTTTAGCATGTTTCCATGCAGTTTCTAGTGTGTTATGAGGTTGATAATCTGTTCTGAGTGTTTTAGTATGTTGCTATGTGTGTAAGCATTTTCTTATGTGGTTTTTAGGTTTCACTCATGTCTGTGACGTTATGGGGCAAGCTAAAAAACAAAGTTATGACAAAGTTAGGTGTTTGTTCAAATCTCTAACCTAAATATGAGCACTAGTAATAGCGATGCATGTCTTAGCACAGAACTCACCTGTACTCTCTGTTTCTCACGAAGTTTCACCTCTCTCTCTATGAGTTTCTGCCTCCTGCAGGTTTCTTCTTGCAGCCGTTTTTCTAGTTCTTCTCGCCGTCTCCTCTCCTCTTCAAGAGCCCTGCTCTTACTCTCCATCTCTCTCTCCTGAGACACAAACAAATGACACGGTTCTGTACAGATACGCACCGAAACACGTTGCTTTTTAAAGCTGCACACAATTAGTACTCTCTGTTCCAGCACAAACTCCCATGAACAACATCAGAAACGGGAAGAACGACTCGTTTCCCACAGCGTTCCTGCATTTCAAGCTGAATTTGTTGCCGTTTATGGCTGACCGAGAAACTTCTAACAGAGCAAACAAGCTCACGGTTTAAGATCCGTGCAGCCAAATGGGGTTCATTTGGTTTTATGGTGTGCTGAAAGACTGGATTGTGAAACTGATGTCAGTATGAAGTGGCAGGTTTGTGTGGCCGTTTCATCACCCTGTGTTCCAGGAGCTGGTGCTTCTCCACCTGGGCCTCCCGGAGAAGACGTTCCATCTCCTCGATCTTGGAAACATTGGAGGTGCTGGCACTGCAGAAAAGAAAAAAAATGAGATAAGGGATTACATTTTACTTTTCAGAGTGAATGCTACGCCAAAGAAAACTCAACTAGGCATTGAAACATCACGTTACCTACAGCGAGAAGAATGCATACACTTGCAAATGTAAACATGTCGTATGTGCACTGGCATGTATGTATATATGCTGGAGAACACAGAAGGAACCAATAAAGCAGGTCAGCACTGGAACACATTAACAGTCCAGGCATAGAGAGCTTGAGAGTGTGGCCCACAGTCTGACGTCTGATGCTTTCCATTTAGACTTCAAAAAGAACACGTGGAATAGATCTGACCAGCTCCTCCTTTCAGTAAAACTTCAAATTTCCCCCTAAAACCTTCACCTCACTGCTTGGCTCCTCAATATCATCCCTAAAACCTTCACCTGTAAAGAATATATGGGAATCATCTTCCATGTCAAACCCCATACCGTCCCTTTTGTCATTACTTGCATTCCCAAAACAGCTGTTCATAAAACAAAACATACCCTCCAATAATACACTTTCCAGTAACCGATAACGGACAACGGCTACAGCAGTTCTTGCAAAGTACAAAAGAACAGGGCAAAGTTTAAGCTTAATTAGTTTCGCATTTATGAAATGCAGTGCCGTCATCATGGCAATCAACACGCATAATTTTCTGTCAGATATGCATAAGAATCAACACGTAGGAGTTGTAAAGTTTGGCTGTACTGATGGTTAGATAAGACTGAAGAAAAAAAAAAAAAACAACTACCTAAAAAACACAACTTAATATGCAAATATTCAAAAGAAGAGAGACCAATAGGAATTAATTAAACCGATACTGATGACATAATAGCTGTCAGATTTCTAATTATTGTGCCAATCATGCATGCACTGTAATTAGATTTTTCTAGATGCTTCTATGAACATGTTCTGTCCATGATAAGTCTCAAGCTGAAATCGACTGCTTTAGTTATGGAATCTGACAGCTGTCAATCATTAACAAGATGCCTGTGCATGCATGATGAAGTCATCTTTCTGGTTCTTAAAGTATAAAAAAGGAATCTTTGCTTACGAAAGTTTTTTTTTTTTTGGCTCTTTGTTGGTTAATTCACAACTAAAGACGCAATTCAAAGAAGATCCAAAATCCAAATCAAGACAAACCCATCATGCAATCCTGCTCCATTCTGTCTATAACAGATTTCAAATAAAACAAATAAATGTTTTTGTTAATTTTCTTCTTCGTTGTTCCAGCTAATCGCCAAGCCATAACATCTGGCCACCTTGCTTCCATCTTTTCCATTCCTCTGCACACACTGTATTCCTCTCATGTCCTTCATCAATCAGTTCTTTCATCTTTATTGTATCTTACCAGTGATGCCGGAGATGAACAGAGGTCATTCCTGATTTAGAACCCAAAGAACCAGCAGAGAGAAGTGGAACATAACACACAAAGACCCAAGAACAGCCTGAACCCGCGCTCTGCGGCTGATTACATTCAAACTGGGGGGAAGAAACCCTGAATCTGTTTCCTCTAACTGTTCCTGCTGTAACCTGAGTGGATCCATCCCTGGAGCAGAGGAGGGGGTATCAACGGTCCTTCTCGGGCCCCTCAGAACTCACATTATTCAAGCAAACCACTCAAATTACATAAACACCGATCCGCTGCCTGCAGCACACACACACACACACACACACACACACTCATACAGCATAAACACACATTGCTCTGAGAAATGACCTCATGTGGTCTCATCTGTCAAAGTCTTTTCACGAAGGTCTTCAACTAATCACTTTTAAACAGACTTGAGGTTTATGGTAACCTACATGAGACCAGTCGCCAGAGCATTCAAATATGGTTCCTGGATTTCAGTTGCTCTGTCTTTCTCTCTATTCTTTCCTCACACGTTGCCCTTGTCCTCAATATTTCATTCATTGTGCCCCAGACAGAACTCTTGGCTTGAACTACAATAGGAGCTGTGGAAATGTTTTCAATTACAAAGACATGGTATGTGTCATCATGAGTTTATATGATCCATCTGCAGATCTGGAAACACAACTACAGTCTGAATCTAAATGGGGACATGCAATAGATTTCTGCTGTTTTTAATATAAATATAAATACTCCTTATATTTTGTATTTATAATTAAATTTAAACCACCATTCAAAAGTTTGGGGTAAAAATTTTTGTTTTTGAAAGAAGTCTCTTAGACTCACCAAGGCTATATACTATAAGAACAGTAATATTGCGAAATGATACAATTTAAAATATCTGTTTTCTGTTTTAATATATTTTGAAATTTTATTTGTTTCTGTGATAGCTGAATTTTCAACAGCCATTACTAAAGTGTCACATAATCCCTTTAAATCATTCTAATATGCAGATTTGGTGCTAAAGAAATAGTCATTATTATTATCCATTTTGAAAAAAGTTGTGCTGCTTAATATTTTTGTGGAAAGTGACTTTAATTCAGGATTCTTTGATGAATAAAAAATTCTAAAGGACAGCATTTTTTGAAATATAATTTTTCTGCATCCTTGCTGAAAAAATAAATAAATAAATAAATTAAATAAAGCATACTGAAACTTTTAAAAGAAAGTTTAACACCACATAAATAATTTTCCCCAAAATCCCCAGACGCCACCAAAAAGGTTGTCAGACCCAGATAGAATCAGTGACAAAAAAAAACAACAACTAAAAAAAAATCCCTCACCTGGAGACGTTGTCGGGCGAGCAGGCAGAAATGCTGGTTTCCATGCTGTCTGAACTGTCCACACTCAGCGTGTCAAAGGCACGGCCGTTGTCTTGGTAACCAAAGGAATCCAGGTAGACGTTGGTCTGTGAGGATGCGCGGCCACCCAGATCACTCAACCTCGTTCGGTGCTCCTCGCCAATGTGCTGCTGACTGTGCCCTGAGAAATATTCCAACCATTCAAAGAAAACCTGAATTTAGCAATAATGAACACTATGAAATAGCACCGTTTAGTATCAAGCACCACATGATTCTTCCTGTCTGTTTTCAGGGCTATCTCAGCTTTACCTGAGAGTGCAGCATCACTCCCAGGAGCAGATTCTCCATTCCTGCTGCCCAGCTGAGTGTCCTCTGGCCAGGCACTGCCCAGGGCACCCTGGGGCCCTTTACTGTGCTCACAAAGATCAGCCACTGTGCAATAATATCCTGACAACACACACTACTGTTCAAAAGTTTGGGGTAAGATTTAAAAAAAACTAAATTAGTATTTTTATTCAGCAAGGACACATTAAATTGATCGAAAGTGACAGTAAGACATTTATAATATTACAAAAGTTTATATTTCAAATAAACACTGTTCTTTTGAATTTGATATTTTTCAAAGAATCCTGAAAAAATGAATCACCATTTCCATAAAAAGATGAAGAACAACTGTTTTCAACAAAGATAATAATAAGAAATGTTTCTTGAGCACCAAATCAACATATTAGAATGATTTCTGAAGGATCATGTGACACTGAAAACTGGAGTAATGATGCTGAAAATTCAGCTTTAACATCACAGCAATAAATTACATTTTACAATCTATTAAAATGAAAACAGTTTAAACATTTTAAATGGTAATAATTTCACTATATTCCTGTGTTTTTGATCAAATACATAAATGCAGTGAGCAAAAGAAACTTTAAAAAACACAAAATCTTTCTGACCCCAAACTTTTGAATGGTAGTGTATGTGACAGAATACCTTACTCCGATTCATAGATTGGATCCCAAGCCCCTAATGACACCCTTCTTCAGCTACAAGTCAAGCACAAAGAGATGGTTCGATATATTTGAGCTTAATATCGATTTAGGCGCTGTCTCCTGGAGATAGACCGTTTAACTTGTAGCGATCAACTAGTACTGCTATAATAAGCTCAGTGGATATGAGACTCGACTCCACTACAACCTTGATAACATCAACCACATCGAGAAAAAGCAGAGACCCGCCTCTCTGATGATCCGACCCAAGGGACCTTCAGATAAACCATCCGACAATACAGTCAAGCTTTTCATCTACAACAGTAAACTCATAATGCTCACATACTCAAAAAGGCTTTAGTGTATTAACATCAAAGCTAAAGAATTAAAACGAAAACGTTCACAAACAAACTGATCAGGTGGAAAAGAACACAGATATTTGTTGAAAATAGAATGGAAGCATTTCCTGTCCATCATCTTCCCAACATTCTTTCACTATCTTCACAAAACAAATAAATAAATGCAAAACTTTTCCACCCAGATGGAACAAATGCTTCCTATTGGAGGACATCAAGTCCTTATAAGGAGACTTGCTTTAATTGGTCTTGATTTGCTTGTTTTGGTGGTCTAGAGAGCCTTAATGTGGCAATGGTTACAGAGTTACTACACAAACAACTGCTGAGATCATTAGTGAGCATGGTGTTGTTGCATGCTGGGTAATTCATTTCTTTCATTTCAGAAAACTAAAGGTGAGGTCACATTTACAGCAGTTCTGCAAATTTTTGTAGGCATTTGAATAGAAATCTACGCGATAGGAAAATTCGCTTGAGGGTGAAAGATTTCCCTAGGCAGATTTTGCAATGGTTTCAAGTTGATCACACAGAGTCATCATGTTTACCAATGGAAAGCTGTTCGGATTGAAGGGGATTCTGTGCGAGTTGTGCTCTACACTACTGACAACAGACCTTTTTTGCCTGCATAATTTTGCTAAAATTTCAATAATGTGACTGCACCTAAACTTCGTATTCTGCAGAGGAATTTTTATTGAAGCCATGCCTCATTCCTGTCAAAATACCCATAAACACCCACCATCAGCTCTCTAGACCATAAACAGCAGGGTGACATAATAATTAAAGTCTATGAATAAAAATACAACAAAAACAAATGACTACATACACACCTCATCATGCAGGACTGTTACTAGAATAACATCACATCATTGTATGAAATAAATCATCTAATGCCTTTTGTAATGTGTATAAAATAGCAGCTTTATTTCATACAAGATTCAGCCTCATCCAATGAGACCCATAAAAGGCCCCGGTGAGTGCATAAAATTAAAGAAACACTAAAGGAAATTATCTTACAGGCACATTGAGACTACTGTAGGCAGACTACTGTACCTTTCTTAGATTTGCCTGCAGGATAGAGAATGTAATTCATGATTAGGTAACGTTTGACTTATGAAGCAACACTTTTGATGTGTATGATGTAATGCTACATAATAACACTGTATATTTTAAACTGTGTGTTTGAGGTGGAGAGCCCTACCCTTGAGCAGGCGGTGTGTATCCATGTGTGTCTCTTTAGGGGAGATGGCAAGAGCTCGGTTCAACACACTCCCACAGCTGGAGCTTTGAGCTAAAGGTGGATGAGACTAAACACAGGGGGTGATGCTAGAGTGAGCTTTTACTTCATACATACACTATCGTTCAAAAGTTTGAGGTCAGGAAGAAGGGTTTTGGAAAATTATAAATGTAAAATTTTGTAACATTTATTGTAACTTTTGATTAATTTAATGCATCTTTGCTAATTAAATGTATTAATTTCTTTAAAAAAATCTAATCTTACAGTAGTGTGAAGTTAAAAAATATCTAGATGTTTTCAGTTTTTTGACAATATATTATTATATTACATTATATTAACCAAGAAGATATTTAAATGAGCTAGAAATAAAACAGAAAAATACATACTTTTTTCCTCCACTTTTTTAAATTAAATGAACAAGGAAGAATTATATGTAATCAATGCACCAAAACAATACAATTTAATAATAACCAGCAACATTTACAGATATATTTTTAATAAAACATTGTAAAGCATGCCAGAAAAAGTTACTATATAAGCTGTTACAAAACCAGATAGTCTTTGGGAAACTTAATGGCCAAATAATACTTTTTTTTTTTATTAT